GTCCTGGGGTGGCACTGAGGGATGGCAGGGGCACTGAGGGATGGCAGTGGCACTGATGGATGGAGGTGACACTGACAGATGGAGGTGGCACCGATGGATGGAGAGGGCACTGACAGATGGAGGTGGCACCAAGGGATGGAGGTGGCACTGACCCATGGAGGTGGCACCAAGGGAGGGAGGTGGCACCGGTCCTGGGGTGGCACTGAGGGATGGAGGTGGCACTGATGGATGGAGGTGGCACCAAGGGATGCAGGTGACACTGATGGATGGAGGGGGCACTGACAGATGGAGGTGGCACCAGTCCTGGGGTGGCACTGAGGGATGGCAGTGGCACTGACAGATGGAGGTGGCACTGATAGATGGAGGTGGCACTGATGGATGGAGGTGGCACTGATGGATGGAGAGGGCACCGACAGATGGAGGTGACACCGAGGGATGGAGGTGACACTGATGGATGGAGGTGGCACCGACGGATGGAGGTGACACCAAGTGACACTGATGGATGGAGGTGGCACTGACCCATGGAGGGGGCACTGATGGATGGAGGGGGCACCAAGGGATGGAAGTGACACTGATAAATGGAGGTGGCAGCGACCCATGGAGGGGGCACTGATGGATGGAGGTGGCACTGATAGATGGTGGTGGCACTGACCCATGGAGGGGGCACCGACGGATGGAGGTGGCACCAAGGGATGGAAGTGACACTGACCCATGGAGGTGGCACTGATGGATGGAGGTGGCACCGATGGATGGAGGTGGCACTGATAGATGGAGGTGGCACTGACCCATGGAGGGGGCACTGATGGATGGAGGTGACACTGATAGATGGAGGTGGCACTGATGGATGGAGGTGGCACTGATGGATGGAGGTGGCACTGACCCATGGAGGTGGCACTGATGGATGGAGGTGACACCAGGAACTGGGGTGACACTGACAGCTGGAGATGGCACCAAGGACTGGAGGTTCCACCAATGCCCAGAGGTGTCACCATTGTTTGAAAGTGCCACTAGGCCCTGGAGGTGTCACCAACCCCTGGAGGTGCCACAAGTCCCCCGAGGTGGCACCAGTTCTGAGGTGCCACCAGCTCAGAGGTGACACCAGTCCTTGGAGGTGCCACCAATGCCTGGAAGTGCCACCAAGGCCTGGAAGTGTCACCAGCCTCAAGATGCCACCAAGGCCTGGAGGTGCCACCAGCCCCGAGGTGCCACCAGTGCCCCAAGGTGTCACCGACATCTGCAGGTGCCCCCAACCCCAAAGTGCCACCAGTGCCTGGAAGTGTCACCAAGGTCTGGAGGTGCCACCAGCCCCAAGATGCCACCAAGGTCTGGATGTGCCACCAGTGCCCCGAGGTGTCACCAGCTCCAAGGTGTCACCAACACCTGGAGGTGTCCCCAACCCCAAAGTGCCACCAAGGCCTGGAAGTGTCACCAGCCCCAAGGTGCCACCAGTGCCCCGAGGTACCACCAACTCCAAGGTGTCACCAACACCTGGAGGTGTCCCCAACCCTAAAATGCCACCAAGGCCTGGAGGTGCCACCAAGGTCTGGAGGTGCCACCAGTCCCCCAAGATGCCACCAGTGCCCCGAGGTGTCACCAACACCTGGAGGTGTCCCCAACCCTAAAGTACCACCAAGGCCTGGAATTGTCACCAGCCCCAAGATGCCACCAAGGCCTGGAGGTGCCACCAAGGCCTGGAAGTGTCACCAAGGCCTGGAGGTGCCACCAGTGCCCCAAGGTGTCACCAGCTCCAAGGTGTCACCAATTCCTGGAGGTGTCCCCAACCCCAAAGTGCCACCAAGGCCTGGAGGTGCCATCAGCCCCAAGATGCCACCAAGGCCTGGAAATGCCACCAAGGCCTGGAGGTGCCACCAGTGTCCCGAGGTGCCACCAGCTCCAAGGCGTCACCAACACCTGGAGGTGTCCCCAACCCTAAAGTGCCACCAAGGCCTGGAAGTGCCACCAGCCCCAAGATGCCACCAAGGCCTGGAGGTGCCACCAAGGCCTGGAGGTGCCACCAAGGCCTGGAAGTGCCACCAAGGCCTGGAAGTGTCACCAGCCCTGAGGTGCCACCAGTGCCCCGAGGTGTCCCCAACCCCAAAGTGCCACCAAGGCCTGGAGGTGCCACCAGTGCC